CGATTCTCAGATCCCCTATAGAAAGGATCAGTTCCCCACTTTGCCACGCTAGTGCAGTGCTATTTACTCATTCATGATGAAGAGCTTCAAAGACGCTCACAGACACATGACGACAGTCCCAGGTCAGACCTCCTCATCCTGAGCTCGGCAAAACAATCCTTCTTGGTGAATACTTTAAGTCTATGAAGAGAGTTGTTTTAAAACTATTCCCAAGAGAAGCAACAGTGTCTAGCATGTAATCTCATAATGGAAATAATAATAAAAACTATCAAAAGCAAGCAGCGAGTGCAAAAACAATACAACCCTTTTTTGCAGAATTCCTCCATTGTGAAACTCCACAGAAGGGAGCACAGCTGTTTTCCCTGAAATATGTTTCACGTTTCCAGAGACAAAAGATGAAATCCAAAGCTTTGACTTTCAGCTTACGAGGGACAAAACATAAAATGATGACACAGCTACTGTTCAGAGCTATTAAAAAGAAAAAAAAAAAGCCATTTAGAGTTCAAGGTGAAAACGCAGGCTTGACCATAACCTTTAGCACATCCTTTGGTGACTAACGACAGCTCCCGAGGAGCAAAACCTTGCAACACGCTCCCGAAAGCTGAGGCAGCTCTCCAATCGCTTCAAGTCTGGGTCTGAGTTTCATCCTTGCTCTTTCAGGGAGCCTAGAGCCCGTGTGCTGTATGTGGGGGTCCACAGCATCTCCCCTGTATAACACCTTCCACTTGTGTCCAGCGCAGCTTGCACTGGATGCAAAACGGTTACATTACACAAGGGGCAAAAAACCTTAAGTATAAGACCTGGGGAAAAAAACCTAAGCACAACACAAAACGTGTCTGTGCGATACCTCAACCTTACTGCTGAATTTCCTAGCGTGCATCTAGTTCCTCTCCTAAGTTTCTGATATGCTACGCAGGGCTTATGCCACATCACTTCAAACGCTTAATCTTTTCCTTGACGGGCTGATTAGGATATTCTTCTGTGTTAAACACAAATGAGCCATTTGCATCAGTTTGCCTCAACAGCAATAAATAAGCCTCAGTTTCATGGCCCTTTTTACAAATATTTCTCACAATAACTGGCACTTTTCATCTTTCTCGTAGGAAACATCTTCTGAAATTTTGAAGGACAGTTAATCCAAATTGTAGGTTATCCTGTACTCCAAATAACCAGCATATCTGCAATCGGCAATAGTGAAATATTTCCAGCAACAGTTGCAATTTTAATAACATACGTTCTGGTCAGTGGGATGCAGTGAAATATATAGGGGAACACCTCTGTCCTGAGTCAGAACAACTCCACATGCCCCAGTAGCAGGCGCAAACCTCACCCCAAAAGGTGCTAGGAAGTGGCACCATCGGAGCTTGGTAGGACTGAGGACAGATAATGTCCAAAACTTGTTTCAGCAAAAAGGCACAACTGTGATTGCACTGGCAAACCCAGCGGTTCCCTCCCATTCCCATGCTGACTTTTTTTTCCTTTTTTTTCGTTTTTTTAGGGTGAACCCTTCTATTTCAATACTTCTATTTCTAAGGCCCTCCTGTATGGCAGCGTTTGTTTGGTTTTTGTCTTAAAGTGTGAGTGTTTCATTTTCGCTCAGCTGAGTGTTAGGCTCAGCTTGAAACAGTTCTACTTCCAGCTGGCCAAACTGGAGAACGTTTTGCATTTCAAGGCAATCCGGTCTCAAAACCCACACTTTCTTATTTTTGGAGAGGAGAGCCACTAACCCCCGAGGCAAGTACCTCTGACATGGTTCTCACATTTGGTCCACGCTGCAAGTCACCACGCTGCAGTGGCAAACCACAGCCGACCTCGCCAGAGGCTCCACTTTTACCCTCGGAGGCACAGCCAGGCTTTACCCTTGATCCACCAGGGAGCCTTATGCTAGGGCAGAGACCTGAAAAGAATATTTAATTAGATGAAACACCAGACCTTTCAATAACGACAACGTCCCTCTAATTAGCTAGACAAACAAGGTAATATGCTACGAGTAAAGATACTACTGCGCTCCCCTGGGGACACGCGCGGCTTTCTAAGTGCGGCGCATAGGCGAGCTGAGGACAATGCACAGACCTCGATGATCACGTCCGTTACACAATCTTCCTTTTGTAGGGGGCAAAAGCCAGCCCTGCTTAATTAATATATGATGAGGCAGTTTTGTGATGGCTAGCGGGGCTGAAACAAATGCTTTGACCTCCCGTCGCCCCCCAGGCAGCAGGGGGCCCCCGTGGCAGCCGTTTTGCCAGGGCGGTTCCCGCGGCAGGTTCACCCTGGTTGACTACTGCCGTGGGTTCACCCTGGTCGACCACCGCACCAGGTTCACCCTGGTCGACCACTCCTCGTGGCCAGACAGGGCAGCAGGACGGGGAGGTTCCCCCACCACCCTACGCCACACTGCCACTCAAGTTCCCTTCCGGCTGCTTTTCCCGAAGGGCATGCGGCGGTCACGGCATGGTTTCAAGCGCCTCCGGTCCCTACAGGGCTCTGAGCACTCATGCCCCAGGAGGACATCTGCTCTATCTGCATTTCGGGAAGCAGTTGCATCGGCGCTGCCTGGAGGAGCCCTCCGAGCGCCGGCCCCACGCTAGCCAACGTAGCGGAGCTCCTCGCCAACCGCACGAAGCACCCGCTGCCGGCAGAAACGCACGCGCTGAGGCTTAGCGGATCGCCCGGAGACGCTGCAGACGCGTGAGCATCAGCGTACGCTGCTCGGCTTGGCATATGCTTGCACAAAGGAAGTAAACTGACAAAATATCTGGAACCATCAGGCTTTCTTTCGATGTGGACTATTGTGTATTCCACATAGACGTTTCCTTTGCCTCAAATCCTTTGCCAAAGCATATTCCTCTTCTGTGATCATCGTTCTGTTAGTCAGACACAGCCAGCTTCAGGTCTCAAAGACAGCTGTACGCGGCGACCACACCTGCTACGCCAGACAAGAGACACCTTTGAGCTATCAGAAATAATTACTATCAAAGTCAGCGCTAGGCAAAAAGACACTGCTCGGTCACATAATGAGCGGTTACCATACCCATACGCACACACGCATCCTGGATACCAATTCCTCCACGTTAATTGGAACTAAAACAGAGCGGTACTTTGCTTATTCAACAGCTAAGCAGCTTGGCTTGTAGCCAGCTTAGCTTTGAACGGCAGCAAAAGTCATACAAGAATCAGGGATTCACTTTTGGAGAGCTCAAGGGTTTCCTTCAGTTTTCACCCGGACTGTACGCGAGCGTCCTGGCCTGGGGCAAGTTCAGATCGCCGTTGGCTAACGCTGCACCCAAACGTTTGCAAGCAGGCGGAGAGGGACAGTGCCTCCCCCTCCTGCAGTTTATCTCCTCCGCTTTGGGATGGACGAGGTCTGCAAAGAAGGTTGTGGAGGAGCAAATAACCCCAAGTCACAGTAGCCCAGGATTATGGCACCTAGATGAGACACGGATGAATTTTTTAAAGCTGTCTCCCCTATCCCCAGCAAGCGTCCTCACCACCAGGCCAGCAAGTATTCGGAAACGACCCTTTTCCGCTCTCCCGCAGCACTCTGTCTGCTTCGTGGAAACAACCAGATCCCAAAAACGTCTTTTGGAGATTTGAGCTAGATCTTCCGTATCCTAGGGGCGCATTTTTAATCGCCAGGCTGCAGAACGACCCTCTCTTTCCACCCTGCTGCCGTCTAGCGAAGCACGCAGACTCAGACAGCCCCCAGCATGATGCGTTTACAGCCCCCGAGTCGCGTTGCCCATCTGCAGCACAAGCGACCGAAGCTCAACAAAACACACCGGCCCCATCACCCTCCCTGAGCCCAAGCCTACCCGGAAAGGGGTCTTTCACCCCCAAAAGCGTCCCATCCCATTCCTGACACCCCCACCCCAGGCACCTCCTCCCCACTGCCACGCGCCCCCCCTCCAGACGAAATGGGAGCTAGGAGCGCGTGGCGGGTTATTCCCAGCCCCTGCCTGAACGGGCAGCGCGGGCAGTTTAGGTCGGTTTTTAGCGTTTATGGTGATGATTAGAGGATAGGGTTAATAGGAAAGTTTAATTGCTTGGCTGCTGGCTGCATGGCTTCCAGCCGTCTCTGGCCGTGTGACCGCGTGTGAGCTGAATATACAAAACTCCTGGGGGGGGGAAAGGCGGTCGGGCTGGGTACGCGAGCGGGGGGACGCAGGCGAAGCTGCTCTGGGAGGACGGTCGAGACGAACCAGGCGTCAGCAGGGGCATTTCTTAGCGATGTATCTCACACGGGTTACTGCCAAGCAGATTAGAGACCCCACCCTCATCTTCACCCATTTCAGTTACATAGGCATAAGGCAGCAAGCTGGTTTTCAAAGGCGCCGTTTTAGCTGTTTCTGAAATCAGAAACAGCATCCGAGCAGCAGAGAGAACACGCCGGCACGTCCACGGACTTTGTGCCTGTTGTTACCCTGTTCCAGGCACGCTGCTCGCGTACTTGTTAAAGCAGCCCTAAATTGATACCATTACCTGAAATATCCTATGTGCTAAACCCACCTAACAGTGCTCTCAGGAACCGCTTTTTCCATTTCCTCTAGATCCGCAAAGCCACTAAAGCTGGAGAACAACGTTAAAGCAAGCAGGTTGCCTCCCTCCCCAGGTGAAACGTCTGCCAACCTGCTTCCCAAGACGAGCGGGGATTTCCGCGGAGCCCTGGGCTTCTCCCTCGCTCTTTCACATCGGGCTTTTGCGATTTTTTGTTCCCGCCCAGCGGTGCCCAGCACAGAAGCGCCGCTCCGGCCCCCCAGCAGCAGCCGCCCCGAGGCCCG